AGGGGGGGGTGGTTGGGTGGGTTCATACGATGGAGCGCGTAGAGAGCTGTGTAGTCAGAGGCATGTATGTATGTATGTATGTATGTATGCATAGTAGGTATAGTTAACTGGCCTTCGGAGCCGCAATGATGATGATGATGATGATGAGGGGGGGGGGGAAATGCCGGGGGGGACGGTGGTATGCCGGGGAATGTAACTCCGTCATGTACCGGAGCGAGCGCCGAGTGGTGTTGGACACCAGCGACGTGTGGTGGACGTTTCCTTTTGGCAAAAAATGTAGACGTAGCTTGAAGATTGACACGTACACGCACATACATACATACACACAGGACGCTCTGGAGCCGCATTTCGAGGTGGCCATGAAGCGACCTAGTGTCGTACGCTTCTCTACCGGCGGAGCGATGTTCGCGTACGTCGGCCGTACGAATGCTGTACACATTCATGCGACATACCACGGCCAGCCCCAGCTCGCGGCTCTCAAGGCCCACGCCTCCTTGGTCTTGGATCTCCGGTTTTCGGTGGACGATCGAATGCTTATTTCTGTGGGAGTTGGAGGAGCAGTGTAAGTGTTTGTTTTTTTTGCGATTACGAGTTTTAATGGTTTTTAGGGTTCTTAATTCTTTCGAAATCGCTCCGGGCAGGGTGCGGGTCGTGAGCTGTCCGGGAGAGACGTTTCTTCCTGGAGCCTTTCACCCGTGTCATGCCGTACAGCATGTTAATGTACGGCGAGTTGTGCTGTGCAGCGTTATAGATAGTTTGTTGCGCTGTGTTTGGCTTGTTGGCCAGGTCGATTTTGAACTGGTTCACTGACGATATGGCTGGCGGGGTTTATGGTTGGGGGGTAGGGTTTGGGGGTTTTATTTTTAAGGCCAGGTCTTACCCTCTTCTTTTTTCTGAAAGCAACCCCTTCGCTTTAAAAAACACACCTCTCTCGCTTTTCCCCTCCCCACCCCCTCCCCTTTTCCCCCTCATCCTTCCACCCACCCGCCCTCTCCCCCCCCTCTCTAATCCCACGACAGCTATTTTTGGGATCTTAATACGTTCAGCCGAGTTATGGATCTGGAACTGGTGGACAAACAGGCGCTGTACTGCTCTGTGGCCGTGTACAACTCCGAAACCGGTAAGTGGGTGAATGTGGAGGGGGTCGGAGGGGGTATATTAATGTAGGTGTCTATTGTTTTTGTGTGTGACGGAGCGCCAGCGGAGCATGTGTACAGGGATGTACGTATGTATGTATATGTATGCATATATGCTCCCGTTCTTAAGCTGTATGATGTTGTTACAGGGTGGTATAGCTTCACCAGCGGCCCCCTTTCCCTTGGAGGCAGTTCCTTGCTCTCCCCTGCTAGAGGGGCACCCTAATCCGTTCACCCCATCCGACTTCAGAATGTATTCGTTGGGTTCAGGAACTCACCACCAGCATCCAACCAAATCTAGCAGATCAACGGCACATCAATGTATGTATGTATGTACGTCCATCGATCCCCCGCAGGCGCGGCGGTGGTTCGCGCATCCGACGGACGAATGCAGCAGGTACGTGGTACGGGGGGTCGGGGGACGGTTTGGAGGGTGGTTAGGCTACATGGTGATTGGGATGGGGCAGTTGTAAGGGTGGTTGGGCGGTTGAGAAGTTGGGCGGTATAAGCGAGGTGGGGTTTAGGAGTGATTTGCTCCTAGCCCATACACCTCCACCATCCGTACACACACGCGCACACGAACTTGCTCTTACGTCCCCCCCCCCCCCCACACACACACCGCGTCACATCCACACAACGTTATTCCAAGCTTTGGGCGCGATGTCCCAAAACGAGATCCCCATGAGCTCTGAGACCATCACACAGAAATACATACACACATGCATACAGAAATGCATACAGAAATTATGAGGGTGCCCCGAAATACCGGGGAAGGCAGGGTTTCGCCGGGTTGCGGCCACGGGTGAAGATATGCCCCCCTGTCCCACACATGCATACAGGAATACACACACACACACACACACACTCACACACACACACACACACACGCACACACACACGCACACACACACACACACACGCACACACACACACACACTCACACACACACACACACACACACACGCACACACACACACACACACACACACACACACACACACACACACACACACACACACACTCACACACACACACACACACACACACGTGCAGACGTGTCTTTTTCACGCATCTGGCAGTCTAACGTGGTTCCCTCCGAAATAACGTCCTCGTGCCGTACAGATCTACAACGGCAAGGTGCAGTACGAGGTCATGTGCAAGGGCGGTCAAATGGCGCCTGCGTGTCTCCTAGGGGCGGATAAGGTGAGTCGGTCTGTATGTCTGTATTTACGTTTGTTTGGAGGAGGGAACTGGATGGGAGCTGCCCCGTCTAGGGGTGCGCGTCTCGATTGGTTGGAGCACACTAAAAGGACCATGCCCCAGCGACTTCATCATGTGCTCATGCGTTTTCGGTTAGGCTGTTGGGAGTTAGAGGTTAAATAGGCCTAATGGGCGTGAGCGCACCGCGCGTACCTGCAGGCTTTGTGGCTGTGGAGCGGTTGAAGATGAGTTGCATGTTTTCGAAGAATGCCCCGCTTACAAGAGCATACGGGCTAAGTATGATGTTGACCTAGTCCTTACGGGGCGCAGCATGCGCACCACTATGACTGAGGCGCCACCCCTGGCATTGGCCAGGTACCTCTCGGAAATTTGGGAGGCCAGGCACGTCGCGCTGAGGCGCTTCGCCCTGAAGCGGACGAGGGAGAATGAAGATGACCTCCCGCGTACCCGCATCAATACCAATACAACGTCCATGGCCCCCCCGGCTTTTACGGACACACCCGCACTTGTGTGCGGAACTTGTAATTTGTAATTTGTTTGGAGGAGGGAGGGGGGGAGCGGCGCCCTCACAGAGAAGAAATGAAAACCCAAATCCCCTCCTCAGTACTCCCCGGGACCCAGGCGGCCTCAGCCCACCCACCCCCCACCTCGCTCCTCTACATTTCCCCCTCTCCCTCATCTTACATCCCCCCCTCCCCCCTTAACCCCCTTAACCCCCCTAACCCCCACCCCCTGCTGTCTCCAAACACGCAGGTGCTGTTAGCCGCGGACGACAGCGGCGGTGTTGTCTCCCATGCCTGGCCTTCTGACCTGCCTCCCCGTCCAGGGTTTGCCTCCGTCGCACCCCCACCTCACACCTACCCCATTCACTCGTTCGCGGGCGGGGGCATCACCAGGATGGCGCTCGTCGCCTCCCGGGGACTGCTGTTCACGGCAAAGTGAGTGTGTGGGGGGGGGGGAAGACGAACCACACACGAGTGAAGCTGCTGCCAGGGCAAGAGTTTACCAAACGTAGAACTGGCCGAAAGGCGTCCGTGAAGACCGCGACGACCTCGGGATGACGAAGTGAAGAAGATGTCGGAAAAACGGGGGGGGGAAGGGAGGGGAGGGGAGTTGGGGGGATGTGCCTTGGGAGCGCGGGCAGGGTATTTTGAGGTTTGGGGTGGATTGGGAAAAATCACGCAACTGGTGAGGTGTTTGTGCGTGAGGGGAGGTGTAGGCGTAACGACGGAAAATAGTAAAATCGTCGTCGTTAACCGGGATGCGCCCTGTGGGTTTCGCAGCGGTGACGGAACCATAATGATGAGCAACATAGCCCTGGTGCTGGACGGAGTCCTGATGGAGTCCACCTTTGGTGCCGTACACACACGGGGCCGTCTAGCCGCCGCCACCGCCGCCGCCGCCAACTCAAGAATGGGCTCCGCGGCCTCGCAGCGCCTGCTAAACATTGGCGCTGCCGCCGCCGCCGCCGCCGGAGGGGGAGGGGGAGGGGGAGGGGTGCCACAGGGGGCGGCGGCGCAGATGGGCGCCGCCGCCGCCGCCGCCGGCGCGTCGTCGTCATCCACGTCGACGTCATCTGTTCCGTACTACATTACCATTCCGGAGGAGCGTTTCTTGGCGATTCGTGAGCGGGCGATTGAAGTGGCGCAGATGGTCGGCCATGCCAAGAACGATGCTGAATATCAGGTAACGTGGTGTTCTGTGAGCACGTGTCTGTATGTATGTGTATGCGTATGTGTGCGTGTATTTGCTTGTTAATGAACTGAGCCGCGGGCAGGAGCTGCCGAAGACGGGGCATACGAGTACCTTCACCGTGCGTATGTATGTATGTGTGTATGTAACCATGACCTGACCAAAGGCTCCGTACGAAATTCGTTGGTATGGCCCCTACCTACGTGGCATCTTAACCCGTAGCCGGCCTTAACCGGTCAACAGAAGAATTCGTTTGTGCTGTTGGGAGTTATTGGATCAGCGAAACCGCCGACCCAAACTGCAACACCCGCCAAACACATTCCCTTCACACCCCTTACACCCGTCACAACCACACCCCACACACACTCTTCAACTTCCATGCACGCGGCCATGCGTGGTCCAACTTTCGGCCCTTCGTTTCTCTTCCCTCCCCCTTCCCCCTCCCCCTTCCCC